GGGGGGGTATTTGATTTCAGTTGATGTCATTAATTGATTAGTACGTCATATTTCATTTCTCTCGTTCCTATAATAATGTTATCGCTTTCTATAAATAGTTAGGTTGGTTTTTTTCCCCCTTGTCCTAACTGACCGATATTGTGTTGATTAGTTTTCTGATCGCGAGACGTAATTTGATTGTTGTTGGTTTCCTTACTGTGTTATGAGGTGGGGTTTATTTTTTATTGTTTCTGTCGTGTCTTCGTGTGTGTGTTGTTGTTGTTGTTATTGTTGTTTTGTTTGTTTATGTGGGGTGGGGTTGTTGTTGTTGGTTTTTTTGTTTATGTGGGGTGGGTTTGTTTGTTTGTTTTTGGGGTTTTTTTTTGGGGGGGGGATGCGGGAGGCGGTAGACAAAGGAATATGATATGCCATTTGATTTCTCCTCAATCATGTGTTATCAAGGGACAAGTAATTTGGCGGACATGAAGATTATTAAGCGAGAACAATTAGCTCAGTTGGCTCGTCGATTTAGATTCTACTGTACAGCGTTCCACGATCTGCCTCTTGTTTTTTGGTGTTTTGTCGTTAGGTTGTTTTTGGGTTTTTTAAAGAAAAATGAAGGGGGGGGGGGTACAAGCAAACAAAAGTTGTGAAAAGACAAACTCATGGTGAAAAAAACTGAATGTGAATGTTATTTGCAATTCTGGAGTGCATGTATTTTTTAAAAGGTTGGCACACCTGTGCCCCCAATTGAAGACAATAATCGGGAGGGAAATCTATCTGTTTCCAGCAAGTTAATAAAACTTGCTTAGCTTGTTTTAAAACCTTCAATCTTCTAAGAAGGGACATGACTCCATGAAAGAAAAGAAGGAAAGGGAGAGTTGCTAATTTCAATAGTTGTTTCTCTTGATTATTTTTCACACATTCGCACGCTTTATAAACTCCGTGTGAGACATCTCCCGGTTCGACGCCAAAGTGAAATCGTAATACGTGTCCTCGTATTTTGTCACTCGGATCTTATTTCTTGTGCGTTGATCGAGGGTATTAACGTCCAATCATACTTCTAATTTCAGCTATCTGAAATTCTTATTCTGCTTTTTCTGTAAATTTGAGCAAAATATTTATCTCACGTCTACGTCACCATAATACAATTTAAATCGTTGTCATGGTCAACTAGGATTCTGTTGCATACATCAATGCAGGGAAATAATGATACCCAATAAAATATAACGGTCCACACAGCCCCTTTTCCTTTTTTTTGGAGGGGGGGGGGAAGGCATTTTTACGTCACTGGAAGTCAAAGCCTAGTTGTCGACATAATCCTAACAGTTACACCACAGACCGTCGACGACTTTTTTGTCGAATAATAAATGTAGTGGGGGGGGGAAGTAAAACAATTCAGCTGCAAACTCTCATAGTTTTACATAATATTTTTGTCACTGCTCAACTGCTGTCTTTCTCAGCCACACCCCTGATCGTAGGATAAGAAAGATCGAACACTCACCTTCTTGGAAAAGTGCAAAAAAATTTCGGATGGCCCGTGTGCATGCTGCGTGCAGCATATATCTATCTATCTATATCTATCTATATCTATATAT